TTGGTCAATCACATGATTTCATATGAATACCACATGATTACTATTAAAAATGATCTACGGACACCCTACCCTTAATAAAATCATTTTTAAATCGATTTTTAAGATTTAAAAACATTTTTCATCTCTACAAGCCAGCTATACTACAGCAAAATTATTATCTGGGCAGCTTTACTTAGTACGTGGGCTACCATTTCATTGGAGAAATTTATCAAAATTTTGGTCGATCTGCTGAATTTTGAATTTTGGTTTTTTGTTAACGTTATTGGGATCGTCAACTTTTGTCCAATCAGGAATAGAAATATCATCGTCCAATAAGATAATGGGATAAATTAGTAAATCCTCTCTTCTGCAACGTTTAATAGATTATCAGTTCATTTTACGTTGTTATAGAGTTCTTGTCAAAATGAATCGAATTGGAGTTATCTCTCGCACTTTCCCAAAATCAATTTTGGCCAATGTTCTAATTCACGCTCGTTCGCCTTGTGTCGGCCAATCTTTGTGCGTTGGTATGCTTTTTTCAAATAATAAATAGATATGCGACATTTAATCATTTATAATTTGTCAGTTACAATCTCTTTTCACATCCTTTATACCCGAAAGGTGCACGTTCTTATTCCAGTAATCATGACAATGAATCTTTTGAAGCGTTTACCGAACGATATGTGAAATTTTTTGAAGGAGTTGACGATCAGTTTGAATTGAAAAGAGGTCTTAACAACTGTTTTGCTTATGACTTAGTGCCGGCGCCATCGGTCATTGAAGCATCTCTTAGAGCCGCCAGACGTGTAAATGATTTTTCTACCGCCGTTCGAATTTTTGAAGGTATCAAACAAAAAGTTGAAAATTCTAGTCAATATAACCAGTATTTGGAGGAATTGAAACCTATCAAGGATGAATTGGGAATATTGACTAAAGAGGAGATGGGTTTCTAGATTGGTACTTTTGGTAATAATGTGAAATGCAATATTATTTATGAAAAAAATTTACTCCATACTGGCCCGTCTATGAAGATTTTGGATCTGATGTGTATTATCTCATGGCTAATTATCGAAAACTTTATTCATTCATATCTCAAGCTGAATTAAAAGCGTATTGTAATCAGATTTTCATAGTTATTTATAAATGATATTAAACAGGTTAGTTTCGAAGCTGGTAAGTAATAGGAAACATTTTTTCCCAACCAAAGTAAAAATCACTAGAACTGAGACACCCCCTATGTATACATTATCTCAACTGGTCAATTAATTTGTGTGTGGTGCTCTAAGTAAAAATGGTTCGCACCCCAAAAATTCAAGTCTAACCCTAAATACCGCACGGCGCAGACCACGGTACCCTTGCTACAATACATTCTATAGACGAGATTTGTATACGTAGTACTCGGGTACTGTACTAGGCGATTTTTCACAAACCTTTTTTTTTTTACATAGGATATATTCCCGGATATTTTACAATCCACCATGAAATGTGTTTAATAGGGGATACTTACACTGGGGTACCGAGGTCCGCGCTATACGGTAATAACTCTAACATGAGCTAAAAAATACTTATAAAAATAAGTCTACTAAATGCACCATAAATGTTGAACATAAGGAACGGTAAAGACGGTTTTGTTTCTAAGACTCTTGTACAGACTTTGGGGTCAGATCCTAGTGTAAAAAGTTCTAAAACTTTGGTCAAGATCAAGTCCCAAAGATTAGTCCTAACCAATCAAAATAATCTATTAATGCTAAAATTGAGCCACTATATATATCTTTTTTTTAGCTAATCAGAGTTCGCACGTAAGATAGAACTTACTATATCTGATATATGAATTTATAGACCTACCGTATAGCGTGGTCAGGGTACTCTACAATTTAAGTTATATATATGGATATTATCGTTATAGTCAGAGGGATACTACGTATAGTCAGCGTAGGGGTATAAGTTGCACTATATGAGTGCCGCAGTTGTATTTGTAATCAAACTGAAACTCCGATCGACGCTTTTAGCGTTATTATAACAATTAATAAAAGATTTAAAAGAGCACGTGTTACTGCAAGGTTCGCCGTTCTTTGACTGTCCGGGACAAGTTACTTATTTTTTATTATGCTGAAAGATCACAAATATTCGCGGAACTGCAAGAAGGTTTGATATTCAACTAAAACAAGTCTGTGAACGGAAAAGTCAAAAATCGCAGTTACAATCAGTTGTTCCATTTATTCAAAAACTTAGAGAATCATATATTCCAAGTGTAATTAATTCATCTTTAATACCCAGGTATTTTCATTCCCAAGTGTGATTAATCCATCTTTAGTTCAAAGCGTTGTCATTTTTCAATTTACCCATTTTTAATGCCCCAGGTACAATGCATTCTAGGCTTAAAAATCGTGAGGGTATTATAATAGGGGATCTTTTAGACCATGCTACGTATATGGTAAGTTTCAAATTAGAATTAAGCAAAATTTAGCCGCCAACGGTACTAACTTTTGTTATGTATAGAGCTGCGTTTTCTTAACTTTACTTCGTGATTCTTTGACGTCACTATTTTCAAACTAGCTATCATATACTCTCGCTAAGCCCTAATTCGAATAATAATATTTGGAGTTTATGTAACAATAATAAATACAAGATGAAACCTGTGATCCAGTAAAACCTGCTAAGCAGATCACGTTAGGGTGAAACCGCACTTACGGATTGACCTACCTGTCTCCAGCCGAGTGGAGAGTGGGTGACACCTTAACAAATACGTATCAGTATAGTTGCTGTACGTACGTACGTACGTACTAGTTTATCTTTTAGACTACGTACGTATGTACGTATGAGAAAGTTATATATCTGATATATATATATTTTTTATTAATAGTTATATAGATATATAGCTGTATAGTGAGCAAATTATTATAATTTTACCTGAATTAAATAGTTTATAAATTTTGTTCAAATTGGGTTAGTTGATGATTTTTAATCGTTTTAGTTGATTCAGATCACTAATGAAGATATGAAGATATAATAGATCAATCTTTCCAAGAAACAATGACTGTTATTTGTTTCGCCCGAATTCATTTCTTTATTTAGTTTATATGTTTTCAATATAACGTATAATTGAGAATATATAAGTTGGCCAAAATTTAGACCACAACGATAATAATTGAACTTCTAATTGCATGATAACTTAAAATGTGAAAAGAACGTTATCCAAGAGTTATAATTGATTCATGAAGTTTAAAAACATCACAAATATGCCGAAAAAATATTTATATGTACTATTTTTAGAAATAACAAATAGTAATACTCGTGGCATAACATTAATCAGGTGATTATAGGTGATTATGTGGTTCGTTATATATTATTATATTTGCTATTATTATTATGCAAGATATATAGTACCATATCAGTTTATCAGCTAAATTGACTTATCTGTCAATCTGAGTAAAGGGCCAAAGTTTGGTTCTAAAAGAAAATTTCAATTCATTTTTATAATATCTGAATTTTTCACATCACCGTTTTCCTTTTCGCAACCCTTATACGTGTTGAACTGTTTCTAGTTCACTCTTTTTAAAACAAGTTTTCATTCCCAACAATTTTGTATTTGATCCGCCGATCTTTTTTTTTTTTTTTTTTTCTTTTTTTTTTTTTTTTCCCTCATTCGAAAGCCGATATTTCCGTGGAACTTGTACTGGTACGTTTACCATCTATGAGGATCGTGAATACTCCAACTGCCAAGAGTTTTTTTTTTTATTAAAGCTTTAGTATCTTCTTTATAATACTCTTGTAGGGAACATTTATAACATGTCTTCAGCTACAATGAGACCAAAGGGGGGACGGAGGAACGACGGCTATCAATCTTTTAACCCCAACTCGAATCAAAGGTAATATATTGTAAACATTTCTTGCAATGTGTATCTTTGGAAGGTATGCCTTAACATATCATTTGTATAGCCATAACAACCGGAACTCTAAAAACAAATGGAATACCAATTCACAACATCTCGCTAATAACACACCGAGAAATCAACAAATTCCTCCAACTTCTCAGCCGTCTGCTAATCATCATAATAACACACCATCTTCTGGTTCAAACTCTCTTAAAACCATCGAACAACAAGTTGTTCACGACGAGGTTGCTGCCAAACATATGCATGATCGAATTTTGTTTTTGCTAGCGAATTTTGTGGTAGGTGATTCTCGTGAATATTAAATTTTTTGTTAAATTGCAAAAACATATAAACTATCTTTTTATTTGATTACTTATTGTCAATTATAATGTTTATATCAATACCTAATTCTTAATTGAAATCATGTAGGGTATTAATGTTATTGTTACTGTCAAAGGTGGCATAAAATATCAAGGCCTTTTATCCCGTGCTTGTACAGAAAGTGAATTGGGTGTTGTCTTGAAATGTGCTCGAAAAGTCCTCTCTAAACAAGATGAAAAGACCATACCTAATGGTATGATAAATGAGTTTATTATATTTGCAAGAGATTTGATGGAAATTTATGCTACCGGCGTAGATTTTTCCTCGTCCGAAAAAACTTCAACTGAACGTGAAGGTAATGATTCATTACTTCTTTCAATTGCTTGATATTTGGTTATTGAATCTATTTATTAAAGTTTTTGAGTTTTAGGATTTAGAACAGATGCCGATATTAGTGGCCGGACTGAAATTAGAGAACGTGAACTTCATAAATGGACACCAGATGAATCGGGTGAAACTTTGAAGGGTTTAGAATATCCTTTTATGTTTACTTAGTAAAATATTTCTTGTTATTGTGTTTACAATCATTTATATCATGTCAAAATGCCTTAATTCTACATATTACGGATGACATAAACCCAGAGTCTGCCAATGCAAGTTGGGATCAATTTGCCGCTAATGAACAATTATTCGGTTTGACAACCGATTACAATGAAGAGATCTATACAACAAAATTAGACCGATCAAAAGCAGATTATAAAGAACGAGAAAGAAAAGCCATTAATTTAGCTAATGAGATAACACGGGTATATTATATTAATTTCAAATTCACGTATTATATATAACAGAGTAAATTAACTTTTTTAGCCATTAAAGGAATCCACAACAAACATTCATCTACTTGAGGAACGCGGTTACATTGTCGATGATCAAATAGATGAAGAAGAAAGGTAATTTTTCATTCTTACACGTGCCAACTCTTATTATATTTTAATAAATAGTGTATGTTGATTAAATTTATTCCTTCAATATAAAATCAAGATATGGAGCAGTTGTTCGTAACAGAGATCCAAGTAAATACATGCCACCACATTTACGAAAACAACAAGAGCAACAAATACAACAAAATGGAGTGACGCCAGCTGTAAAAAAGACAGAGACAAATAATGAAGTTACTAAGGATGCCAAAGTTAAACCGCCAGAAGATATAAAGCCCACAACAAAATCCGCACAACCCGCCACAAATCCTACCTCTCCTTCATCTTCTATACCGAAAATTCCACCGTTTACACCATCACCCTCATCTTTGTCTAGTTATCGAATTCCAGAACACGTAATGGCTTCTCTTCAGATTCCGCGGGTAAGAATTATAATTTTTTTTTGTAAAGTGTTAAATATTTGTATTCTTATTTTATTAATCTTTTAATATCAATTATAATTAGAAAAATGGTACTGAAGCAGAAGGAAAACCTATTGAAGGTATATTTATTCGCTTATTTGATTTGCATTAAGTAATTAATACAGACTTTATATTTTTTTACTTTAATATTAGCACAAATTGTAAAAACATTTCGTCAGTTTGCTACAAGCGAAAAAGAACGTCTTCAGCAAAGAAAACAAGCGATTTTCAAAAAGGAAATGGATGGTAAAATGGCTGAATTACTTAAGTGGGGTCAAAATTTCAAGGTAATTATGTGTTATGTGGAAATTTAATTGTATATTTAAATTCGGTAGATGCTCCTAATTTAGATAATTTATAAAAATTTATCCAGCTGAATTCACCGTTACCTGAAGATCTTATCCCAATTTTGACTAAAGATGAAACAAAACGTCAACAACTTGCTGCAAAAGCTGCTGCATTGAGTGAGAAAGAAAAGGACATTGATAAAGAAAAAGAAAAGGAAAAACAAAAGGACAAAGATAAAAAGGAAACTGAGAAGGAAAAGGATAAAGAGAAAGACGATAATAAACAAAAAGAAAAGGTTACCAATGTTCAAACTTCAGAACCAAAAGTAGAGTTTGTAAAACCATCAATTAAGATTGAAGAAGTTCAACCACCAAAATCAAATGGAGAGTCAAAAACAACTTCTTCAGAAAAAGTCGTTTCAGAAAAACCTACTTCAGCAGCTGATAAAGCACCACCACAGTTCCCTCCTACCAGAACTCCTGCGACAACACAGACGAACACTAAGTTAAATGCTAAAGCACCTGAATGGAAACCTAATCCTAATGCGGCAAGTTTCACACCGGTATGGCATTACTTATCATAAATTGATTATTATGCAACTTCATTCTTATTCGTTTTTATGTGCACTTCAGACTCCTAATTCCAGTACTGGGGATAAGAGATCTCCCGATTCGGTGAGAACTCATCTCTCTTTATTCTGCGTGTTTATATTTATTTGAATTTTCTATATAACAAAGGATTTATTTTTGTCACTATAGTCACCATTTTTTGGTAATCGTCAATTAAAAAAAAATTTATCGTCACTCAAGGATGGTTTTAGTCCGTTCCAGAAGAGCAAACCATTACCTAATCCTAGTACAATTCGTAAGTTAAACTAAAATAACAAGTGATTTTTATCGAATTATGATACTAACTTAATATACAGCTCCTACGTGGCCTTTTGGTCAAAGACCTTTTAGGCATCATTTTACAGTTACCAGCAACTATGAGGAAGACATCTACTCGCAAGCAGCTGCAAATCAAAGTTTCGGTTTCGCTGCTTACCCAGTAGCTGCTCCTTATCGATATCCTTCTGGTACTACTCAATTTGTTGGTGTTCCACCTATGCCCTTGCAGCAAGCGACTCCAATGCCATATTTGCAACCAAGTGTAAGTTTCATTTCTTTTGATTAAATAAAAATCTATTTTGTTGTTTACATTTATACATATGCCTATTTTTTATAGTTTGTGCCAGGTATCCCTTTTACTGCTGCAGCACCAATGCCACCGACTGGCGCTCCACGTGAGTAATTCTTATTAATCGTTATTTGTACCCTAAGGATTTATATATAGTTTTTTATTAATATTTCATTGGCTTCCAATTTCGTAGCTGCAATTTATAGTCCGCAGATTTCATCAATGATCCCACGTATGCGATTAAGCATCCTTCTTAAATAATTATTTTAGGTTATTTAACCATATTCTCTTTTTATAGAACATTTTAGTTCACAAGGATTTCAGTCTCCTGGACGCACCCCCATCGTTCCTACTGGTATACATCCTCAAATTTACCAACCATACCAAAATCAACATGGTAAATAATATTAATTTGGGATCTTTATATAATGCAAAATTTTTTATCATCTTTTAATCATAACATTTATTTTCGGATATGTAATAGGTATTCCCATGATGCGATATCCACACGAAATAGTACCACACGTCCCACCGAGTAGTGTTATGATGAGTCAGCGACCTATGATTTTAGATCCACATTATAACGTTCAGCCTGAAGCTACACCGATGGGTAATTAACGAAAGCCACAGTAATGGTTTCACTTGTCCACGTCAACTGTAAGTATATGCTTGGTTCCTCCGACTCTTAGGTCGATACTGATTAGGGTTGCGACCCAAACCTTTTTTGAATTGACATTACTACATAGTTTGGGTTTGGAAATCAGGAGTTCTACTTCATTTTGGATAGTAACCAAAATCAAAATATATGATCGTTCTCAGTCAGCAGTGTAAAATTTCAAAAAAAAATCAATAAAATTTGTTAAATCAATGCAATAAATTATTAAAACTGTTATTTTTGTTTTCAAATTAAGGGATTTAGCACTAAGCAAGATATACTGGACAAGGTGAGATGTTACATAGGTCTGATGGTTACATCGAATATTTGCAAAAGTGAAAGTTTTGGCATCCAAAATAAATTTTGAATAGCAAGTTTTCAAATTCGAAATGTTTAATAGTTCTTAGAAAGCAAAAACCTTAGTAAAATTGATCCCTCATATGTATAGTTAGTTCATTATTGTTGATTAACTCTGTAATTGTTAATTGATACTGTAAATGAATTACCTGTAACTTGACCAGAACCATGTTGTATAAAAACATTAAACAAAAAAAAAAAAATAAAGAAATTTTCTTGATAAAATGGTTAAGGCTCTACGTATTAATTTTAATATATATACAATATAAATAAAATCTATTTAGTTGCTTGGAGATGTATTTATATGCATTCACAGTATGATGATAATTTTATTTGGAGTAAATAGTAAAAAATATTTAAATTTCAATGACTTTTGAGCGAGCAAAACCTATAAAAATAAATTATATTTGTCGGGTTCAAAATTTCAAAGTTACGTTTTTGATATTTTTATTAAAAAACATCAAAAACGACCATTTTGCATAGAAATTGAGTCCTCCCTACGTAGGCTATAAATAAATAATATAAATAAATAAATAAAAAGGCGTTGTTACTTTAAAGAGCACGCTAAGATAAACCTGACAGATTACGTATAATTTTGTGTAAGTTTGCAATATTTTTTTTTTACTATTTATGCTATCGCTAATGATCATCACTGTACCACCTGCATAATTAGACTTTGTATATATTGACTAGCCTAAATTAGGTTAGAATTAGAGTAACGTAAGGGTTTAGGCCCATTACGCATTAGTGCTAATCAGTTAGCGCAATATTTGAATTGATATACGTACGTACGTAATATAAGATCAGGTGACTCATATAAATATTATCAGACCACGAATAATCCTTGGTTAAATTAGAGTTCCATTTATCCATGGATATCCAGATCTGAATTTATTCGGATATCTGTTTTACTATTGATATCCGGATAATTATCCGAATATTTGTCGGATTATCCGGATATCAATAGTAAATGGATATCCGGATAAATTCAGATATGGATAAATGGATGACGGATTTATCCGGATTGGAACTCTAGGTTAAATACTTTCAAAGCATCTTCGCTGGCAATAATTGAAAAACATTTAGAAGGCCTATCATTTCGAAAACTTGCCAAACACTTGTGTGTTAGCATATCATCTATAAGCCGGGTTCTCGAGGACTTTCGAAGATAGGGATGAATTTAAAACCTTCTGTAACACATCTTCGACAAATATTAATAAAATATTAATAAAAATCACGATTTTGAGTCATTTTTAAATCAGCCGAATTCTTGACAATATCTAACTTTTAATAATATCAGCACCTACTCATTTAACTCTACCCATTTAACTACTCGTTTAATATGTTTATTATAAAAATCTGGTTTATATCTTGCTGGCAAGAATAGCCTTTTCCATAAGTTTTTGCACAAACTAAACACCAAAATTCAAACGAAAATTTAATAACATTGAGCGTGTCGATATTTATAACGATAAAAATTATCTGCAAGTATTATATGTAGCATAATATGTCTTTATATATATAGGATTGGAAATTTTCGTAAGTTTGCGTAAGTTGTAAGCTTCTGAAATCAAAAGTACTGTACATATAATTTTTTGTTATGTGAATAACGTTGACCAAAACTTTCGTAGAGCTGGCGCATAAAGTCTTATAATGCTGGCAAAACTTTTGTAATGCTGGCACTATGGTTACGACGTGAGTGCGTGCATACGTACAATTTAGTATCTATATGCCGAAATAATAACTTTGGCCAAAAAATCATTCGGCTAATTTTTATCGAATTGCTGTAAAAAAAAAAAAAAATCGGGTTAGGCCGATTTTTTTGATCCGGTCTGTCGATTTTTTCTAAAACCGACTATCCGATTTTGCAAGCAAAGTTCTTTCTTTTGTTTTCGTTATCATTCGCCTTGTAGTGAAGGCTAGTTGTATGCCACAGTCCTCTCGCCTGGTTCTCAGTAACTTGTAAACTAAGGGCAGTATTTTGATACTATTTAAAATTAACCATTCTTCCAAATACTAATAGCTAACGATCCGTAATTAACTTTGAAACGATATTGTGTTACGAATTATGAATATATATAAAAAAAAGATTTACTATAGTTAAGGAGCATTAAAAAATCCGATGTCTAATAAAAGCTTAATTCTTGTAGTAATTTTCGACATTATAATATTTGCTTGTCTCTAATGAAATTCTTAAAGAATACCATGAGTTGGGTTCTAAAGAAGAATTCGAATGGTTTTTACAGATCTGTTTTATACAGGTAAAATGTGTAATATGTAATCGATATTAGTATCGTTGTCAATAAAATTTACGAAATTAATGTGGCTATATGCTTAGAAAAACTTTTCTATACTCAGAGATACAAAATATTACTGTTTTATATAGTATAGTAACTTTCTAGTTTATTAATGCAAGTATTCTAATTCGTCAATCATAATTTATGTACGTACGTACGTACGTACGTATATACGTAGTAACGTAATAACAATAACTGATAAAAAATGCGTTGTATTAATACTAATAACACCAAGTTCAAATCTAATTATTGGTTAATTTTTATTAGTTGTTAAAGTTTATAAAAACAGCTATAATAATGTTTAACAACTTGTTTATTTATTGGACAAAATTATTACCAAATATATACAATACAAAATAAATTTTAAACAAAAAAAAATTTCATTAAATTTTTATTATTTGTTTTTAAAAAAAGTATTGCTAATCTTAAAGCCCTGCATCTGACCTAGAATTAGTGCGATCTGCAAATTTCTTTGTGTAACAAAAATAAAGTTGGATGATCTTTATTATAGGTGGGCATATATAATTATTATACAATTATAACAATACAATATAACTATTTAGAACTAATTTAAGTAATTTTATAAATTATTAGGGTCAGGGATAAGGTTAGAGTCTAAATTGGCTCAAATTAGTTAGGTTTTATATATTATAATCTTGTAATAATTTATATATACCCACCTATACTAAAGGA